AAGCTTAAGAAAGACTTCTCGGACCCAAGTAATCGGGAGAGTGAACCAAAGACTTGGAGCTCTCTCTTTTTCATCTTGAAGAATAAGGCTGTGTTTGAAAGGGTGAGTTTGAATTGATTACGATTACTTGAAGCTTAAGAAAGACTTCTCGGACCCAAGTAATCGGGAGAGCGGACCAAAGACTTGGAACTCTCTCTTTTTCATCGCAAAAGAAGTTGTGTTTGAATGGTGTTTGAATAAGTGGCGGGAATCAGATGACAATTACTCGAAACTTAAGAAAGACTTCTCGGACCTAAGTAATTGGGAGAGCGAACCAAAGACTTGGAACTCTCTCTTTTTCATCACGAAAAGAAAATTGTTTGAGTTTGAAATAATGTTTGGAATGATGAGTAGTTGAAAGATAGTTGAACATTGTCGAGTTTGTTAATGTTATTTAAAGGCGTCAATTGCTCACACACGAATAACTCGCATCCAAACAACCAAAAGCAAGCTCAAAGACTTGAACCTACTATTTACACCTTGAAAAGAATTAAATAATTGTTAGTTGATTGATAGTTTGTTATGAAAATCCGCTTGATGTTGGATCAAGGGTTTGACTTATTATCGCGTGCAAACGTGCGGTGAAAATGGAAATGGTTTGAGAAACGGAACCGACTTGACTTACGCATCAAGGTTCGAGTTGTGAGAAACGATACTAGCCCCTGAGGGTGCCCTCAATGTCGAATCCACGGTGAAGTGTGTGCAATAGGTTGATGGTGAATGCGTATGAGCACTCGACTTACAGAGGGGTTTGAAAATGGCTCGATGACGGATCGAGAATTAGTTTGAAAATAGTTTGATCTACGTTAGTCCCTATGGGTGCTTCTAGAAGATACACTAATAACCAAAGAAATATGAAACATACATCGGAATGGGAGAGGGGTACATGTAAGTTACACGGGATTGCACGAAATAAAGGGGTCTCATTGTCAGGTAGCCCAAGAGAAATTTGTGTGTGTGCATTATGTCCTAAACTACGCCTTGAGCAAAGTCGGGCACAAACTCGATATTAGGGCTCCTGCAAATAACCAATGATCCAACAGTCCACCAATTTGGTTTTTAGGATTTTGATAGTTTATTATGTATTTTCGATTATAGGTGAATGAGAATGAATAATATGAATATGACAATGGCAATATGAATAATATACAATAATATCCACAATAATATTTGACGAAATTTAAAGCAATTAATATTTGACAGAAATTAAAGTTAGTGGTTAGTTTGGTTAGGAATTTAATCGGGAAAATTTAACGCTAAACCGTCGTAGCTCGACTTATAATGGAAGTCGAACTATAGAAGGTCGCGTGAGTTGATTTTCGTGCTAAAAAACAAGATAGAAAAATGGTATTGAAGACCATTCTCTAATTTAATCGTGTCGCACGAACAAAAGACGGGATCTCGTCTTAATCGCAAACAAAATATCGATTAATCGAAGGTAGCCTATCACAATCCCAAAGTAGGGAAAATTACCCAAATGGTCATTCTCCATAGATTTGAAATCGAGAAGGTTATCGACTTCGATACACGACGCTTACGAATCGGAAGACATCATCGATCGAAAAAAATGAATAAAAATGGAAATGAAGACGAAATTGAAAAAGAAAATGAAGACGAAATTGAAAAAGAAAATGAAATAGTCTCGAATAAATTATCATCTATCAATGGTTTGACCGATAATAATTTGTAAATATTCGTCATTGACCAAAAAATGGTAAAAAGAAATAAAATGAATAAAAATCGAAAATGAAAAGTTTGAAAGAAGTTGGTCTCGGGTTTGTTATTTTTCATCAATAATTTGACAGAAAAACAACTTTGAGGTCTCGTCATCGACCGAAAAGTAAAATTGAAAATTCGATCAAAGTATAAAGTAAACATATATGATCTATTCAAATAAATTTTTATAAAAAATAAGTTTGTTATTTTAAAAAAAAAAATGAAATAAGCCAAAAATATAAACAAATAAGAGATTATTAAAGAAACAAAACCAAGAAAGAAAAAAAAATTGAAATAAAAACATAAAGGGGAGGTAGAACATAAGTCATAAGGGTGGTGTGAATAACATGTGGGATCATGTGGGCCGGGAGCCCATCACCCACTCTCCAAAAAGAACCACGGACCACCAGAAGAGGGGCATTATGCACAAAATGACAGTTAGCAAAACGGGCCTGAAGGTCCAGTCCTACAATAACTCCACATAATAAAAAAACAAACACATCTATGTTTTTAACTTATTAAAAGAAAAAGCTCCCAGATTCAATGTCGTCGTGAAAATAACAACAACAACATAGCAGTAATCAACATCCAAGGATCTCAGACCCAAATATTCATCTTGGCGTATCAGCAACCAATTAAAAGAGAGAATAAAAAAAACGGAATCACGACACGACCTTCTTCAGGCACGTCGTCTCGGCACCAAATCGTCTTCCAGGCTCGGTTTAATCCCAGTTCTTGGTTTCAAATTTTATTCCTCATCTCAATTTCTGTTTGAGGTATCATTTCTGTTATGAGTTTTATGAGTTTTGAGGGTTTATGGAAGGAGGTCGTTTCTGGAAAAATGGGTTTGGAAGAAGATGAAGAATCGTGGAAAAAGGAAAGGTAATGGATTTGAAGTGTTGTTGTTCGAAGTTTGGGTTGCTGAAGATCAGAGAGGTTTTATGTGTGAATGTGTAGAGTCATAGGTTGAAGATGGAAGAGATGAGAGGGTTGGGATTTTCGTGCGGTTATGCGTTTTGAGGTTTGTTGTTGTTTCAAGAAGATTATTGTTGTTGGGGTTAAAAGAAGAAAAGGTTTGCTGTTGGAAAAATGAAGAAGAAGAAGGCTTGGGTGAGGGATTCGTGTTGTTGCGGTTGGTTGAGGTTAGAGGTATAAGAATGAAATTCTCTCTCCCCTTTTACAGAACGAAAGTGGGTTCGTTATATAGGAAAGGTTCTGCTGCAAAGCTCTAAGTCGCGTCCTCTGTGCGTACAAGTCATGTGCGTGATACCGTTACCCTCTTCTATCATTCATTAAGGTGAAAATGTTTTATGGTGTGCGTCGCAAAGTAACGAGTCTTGTGTCCTTGTGGGTGAATTTCAAAAGTTTGTTGTGGCTATACGATTTGAGGTGCGAATGGTTTTTTTTGGGTGATACGGAGCGTACTGTGTGAGGTGTGGGTGCATATTGGTCTTGTGGAATTTTGTCGTTTATTTGTTGCGTGAAAAAGCTCTTCTTTTTTAAAGAATATACTGAAAAACTTTTGTGGGGTATACGTTTTGGCTGTCCTTCTTCTGCTGCTGTCCTTTTTATGTGGGATAGAAAAAAAAACTCATTTATTGCTGTTGTATGACACTTTGTACTGATTTTCTTTTGTGATTTCGCAGAATTCTCGTGTGTGGTAATTAGCTGCTAAGTCCTGTGAAAACGGAAAACTCACGCCGGTTTTAGCGTTGTATTTGGGAATCGGTTGCTTACTGGTGTATGGGCTGTTTGTGTTGCCATCACATTTTTATCTGTTTTGCAAGTAGTGGCATTGGGGAAATTCGAGTGGCATGTGGCTGCATACGGTTTTGGTGAGTGCGTTGCATTGCAGATTAGTTGTGACATCGTGTTGCTTTTACGAAAAATTCTGCTGCTGGTATTTTCGTTTCACCCCTTTTCTTTTCCTTTTCTTCTTCAAATTTTGTCTATTGTATCGTATTGCTGATTGTACATTGCGCAGGTTCTGGTGCGTTGTGGGATTTTCGTGAACCGTGACTTGGGTTGTACGATCTGGTGCTGCAGGATATTAATGGGCATGTTAATTTTAAAAGTTCTCGTGTGTCCGGCGTGGGTTTTATGCATAGGTTCATCACGTGAGGTACGGTTTTGTATATGTCCTGTTGAAAGGTTTCTTTGTGTGGCTGATGATTCATTGCTAGCGCCACGTAAACAATGCGTAACCGTATAATTTTGCTTTGAAATACTAGCTTGTAAAGTAGTGACTCGCTTGGGAGTGGGTATTGTTTGATTTATTTTCCTCTGCAAATACAAGTTGTTGGTGTATTATTCATGAATCATGCATAGGGTGCAGTTTTTACAACTTGTACCATTTGTCATTTTTGCGAACCTCACTTTTCTTCTGGAATATTTGTTTTGTGCTGATTCTGCTTTTTCCTACAGGAGGAAATGTCTAGTACATATGGTGATACGTGAGAAGGATTCCATCGCGGATACTGTGGGATCATTTTCCAGTTGTCTTACAAAGCGCAAAACATGCACTATGATTTGGACACGTAATCGCTTGCACCAGCAAAATGGGTTGAGCCTTTTCATGTCTGCGCCCGAGGTTGTTGGATGGATCATCAAAAATGCTGCCTGTTGGTAATAGAGTTATATCAATTCTCCCTGTTCTGAAATCCAGCTACTGCAAATTGTATGGAAACTGTGTCCATCTGCTTTCTATGACATGAGTGAAACAATGGATGGAACCGAAACAATGGATATAGATATTTTCATGCCCTCCAAATTGCTCGCACTTTTAACGGGCTTTTCAAATTCTAATTTCTGCTCGCACTTTTACCGGGATTACATGTAACATCCCTATAAATTGTTTGGTACGTTTTGGTTTCATCACTAACATTCACGTTGTGTAATTGTTCATAGTACATTTTAATGAAAGGTTTCAATCTGTTTAGATTCTCACTAATTTAAACATGATGTAACAAGAAACTATTACTCAAAATGTAAACTTTAACTAAGTCAAACTTGGTTATTATGTCATATTAACTCATCGTTGAACTACTAAATTATAAGACTGAAAATTTAGCTTTGAAAATAAGTAGTTGTATATGTAAATATTTACTTTAGTGAATGATCCCTATATTTTAATGTAAATTGTATGAACAAAGTGTTGACTATTATCAATAAGAATAACTTGAACTCTTATATCAATTTAAATCTATAGTAATAAATTAGAAGTTTACAAATAAAATAAAAAAACATCACTGAATATATCTACGACACAAAGGACACGTGTTAGATATATCTAACCACTTAAGAATACAATCTTCATGATAGATATGCAAACATGGACTAGACAGTTGGATAGCTTTCGATCCAACTAATAGTTCTTCGAGACAAATTGAACATGTCATGACTTCAGAATCTTTTGTTCCTTCTTCAACTCGAATTATCTCAAAATTGCTACCATAACATCCCTTAGTAACTTTAATGTCTCTTCTGGCTGGAGCTTGGTTAATAATTGTTTCGGGAAAAATAAAGTGGTCGTCTTGGACATTAACATCAGTAGACAATACCTCTTGAGTGTTCAACCTAGCTTGATTTCTCTCAAGATTGGTGTTATTCCTTATTCCTCTTCTTACTGGAACTTGGTTAATGTTGTTTTCCTGACGAATAGAGTGGTTGTCTTGGCCATTAGCATAAGTTGGTAAGACATTTCGGATACTCCACCTAGATTGACTTCTCTCAGGATTGAAATCAAACCATCTTTGGGTAGACATTATATCTCTTCTTACTGGAACATGGTTGATGTTGTTTTCGTGAGAAATAGAATGATTATTTTGAACATAAGCATCAACTGGATATAAATTTCGAGTACTCAATCTAGGTTGATTTCTTTCAAAATTTATGTTCGACCATCCATGGGTAGGTACAATGTATCTTCTTATTGGAGCTTGGTTGATGTTGTTTTCATGAAGAACATAATGGCCATCTTGGACATAAACATCATGTGAAAAGACATCTCGAGTACTCAACCTAGGTTGATTTCTCTCTATATATGTGTTAGACCATCTATATGTAGGTATCATTTCTCTTCTTACTAGAATGTGGTTGATGTTGTTTTCGTGGTGAATAAAGTGATTGTCTTGGACATAAGGTGGTAATACAGTTTGAATACTCTGTCTTGATTGATTTCTCTCGGGATATGTATCAAACCATCCTGGGGTAGACACTATGTCTCTTAGTAGAGTATGGTTGATGTTATTTCTGTAATGACTAAAGTAGTTGTCTTGGACATAAACATATGTCGGTTGGATTCTTCTTATAGGTTGATTTCTACCATAAGCATGATAAAGAGCATTAGGTGTCGGATAAATGGCACGAGGAATCATTCGATTGTTCATAACATGCTGCGAAGGTCCATATGAAACTTCCATAATTTCTCTATGATATAAATGAGAACGGTTTCCAAATCTATTCTGATGAAATTGTGGATAATTCATCCTTCCAAATCAAGAGAAAAAATTCCCACTTAAACAATATCTGTGGACAAAATAACATGTATCAAATTTTAAAGATAACGATGTAAGATTAAAAAATCATAATAACATGGACATAATAACTTTATTTTGTGAAAAAGAAAAACGAAATCAAGAGAATAATTCATAATATTAAATTAGTGATGAATAAACAGTAGAGATGAAAGAAAGAAAAATAAGAAACCTTTTTGAATGACACAAACAACAGCAACTTGGTGAATGGTGCAAACAGAAGTGGCTGCTGATGAGAAATAATACAAGAGAATGCTAAGAAATTAAAACTGAATAAGTGAAAGATTAAGATCCATATTTATAGATTATTTATAGATTTGTTTGTTTTTCAACTATAAGATAAAGTTCCGATAATATAGCATAGCATATGATAATCAATCTCCTAATTTTGTGCAATAAAATTATAACAAAATATTGGATTCAAGATAATTGGTTTTTTTCTTCTAATATTTTAAATTTGAATTTTTTTAAGTTTTAAATTTGACCAAAATCTTTTAATTTTGAATTTTAAAGTGAAGCGTTATTTTTGTTGGGATATGATTCATATGTTATTTTTTTTACTAACCATATCCTATATGCACACATAATTTCTATCGATTTGTTACATATAGTTATTATAATTTAAAAAATAAGATTTTTTTTATTAGTTTTAATTTAAAATATAATAGATTATTAACAAAATTTGTAATATAAAACTATAACTTAATAACTTATATTTTAACTACAAATCAACAAATTATATATTTAATCATAAATATATAAACTAACGGTAAAATTTGATATGAAAATTTAATAAAATATATGAATTAATAATATTGTAATTTTAAATTTAATTATATTAAAAATAAGCAATATAGAGAGGATGTATGAGAGAGTAATTGTTCTATCATGGTGGGGGCTGGACAAGAAGGAAAAATATAAATTCAATTATAATCACTATCAATGGTATAGCTTTCCTTGTATGTTTCTTTAGCAGGTTTATGGTTTTCTCATGCAATTCTAGCAGTGCTGATGGTTGTTGATGTAACAGTAGTTGCTGCTTGTTTTGATTACGTGTATAAGACATTGAAAACTTAGCTTTGGAAATAAGTAGTTGTATACGTAAATATTTACTTTAATGAATGATCCTTATATTATAATGTAAATTGCATGAACAAAGGGTTGACTATGATCAATAAGAATAATTTGAACTCTTGTATCAATTTAAATCTATAGTAATAAATTAGAAGTTTACAAATAAAATAAAAAACATTACTGAACATATCTACGACACAAAGGACACGTACTAGATATATCTAACCACTTAAGAATACATTCTTCATGATAAATATGCAAACATGGACTAGGCAGTTGGATAGCTTTCGATCCAACTAATAGTTCTACGAGACAAATTGAACATGTCATGCCTTCAGAATCTTTTGTTTCTTTTTCAACTCGAATTATCTCAAAATTGTTACGATAACGTCTCTTAGTAACTTCAATGTCTCTTCTGGCTGAAGCTTGGTTAATGTTTGTTTCAGGAAAAATAAAGTGGTCGTCTTGGACATTAACATCAGTAGACAATACATCTCGAGTGTTCAACCTAACTTGATTTCTCTCAAGATTGGTGTTATTCCTTATTCCTCTTCTTACTGGAACCTGGTTGATGTTGTTTTCCTGAAGAATATAGTGATTGTCTTGGGCATTAGCATAAGTTGGCAAGACATTTCGGATACTCCACCTAGATTGACTTCTCTCAGGATTGGAATCAAATCATCTTTGGGTAGACATTATATCTCTTCTTACTGGAACATGGTTGATGTTGTTTTTGTGAGAAATAGAATGATTATTTTGAACATAAGCATAAGCTGGATATAAATTTTGAGTACTCAATTGATTTCTTTCAAAATTTCTATTCGACCATCTATGGATAGGTAAACTGTATCTTTTTATTGGAGGTTGGTTGATGTTGTTTTCATGAAGAACATAATAGCCATCTTGGACATAAACATCATGTGAAAAGACATCTCGAGTACTCAACCTAGGTTGATTTCTCTCTATATATGTGTTAGACCATCTATATGTAGGTATCATTTCTCTTCTTACTAGAATGTGGTTGATGTTGTTTTCGTGGCGAATAAATTGATTGTCTTGGACATAAGGTGGCAATACAGTTTGAATACTCTGTATTGATTGATTTCTCTCGGGATATGTATCAAACCATATCGGGGTAGGCATTATGTCTCTTCTTAGTAAAGTATGGTTGATGTTATATCTATAATGAATAAAATGGTTGTCTTGGACATAAACATATGTCGGTTGGATTCTTCTTATAGGTTGATTTCTACCACGAGCTTGATAAAAAACATTAGGTGTCGGATAAATGGCACGAGGAATCATTCTATTGTTCATAACATGCTGCGAAGGTCTATATGAAACTTCCATAATTTCTCCATGATATAAATGAGAATGGTTTCCAAATCTATTTTGATAAAATTGTGGATGATTCATCATTCCAAATCAAGAGAAAAAATTCCTACTTAAACAATATCCGTGGACAAAATAACATGGATCAAATTTTAAAGGATTTAAAAATCATAATAACAGGGACATAATAACTTTATTTTGTGAAAAAGAAAAACGAAATCAAGAGAATAATTCATAATATTAAATTAGTGATGAATAAACAGTAGAGATGAAATAAAGAAAAATAAGAAACCTTTTTGAATGACACAAACAACAACAACTTGGTGAATGGCGCAACAAACAGAAGTGGCTGCTGATGAGAAATAATACGCTGAGAAATTAAAACTGAATAAGTGAAAGATGAAGATCTATATTTATAGATTATTTATAGATTTGTTTGTTTTTCAACTATAAGATAAAGTTCTGATAATATAGTATAGCATATGATAATCAATCTTCTAATTTTGTGCAATAAAATTATAACAAAATATTGGATTCAAGATAATTATATTTTAAATTTGAATTTTTTTAAGTTTTAAATTTGACCAAAATCTTTTAATTTTGAATTTTAAAGTGAAGCGTTATTTTTGTTGGGATATGATTCATATGTTATTTTTTTACTAACCATACCCTATATGCACTCATAATTTCATAAGCATCAACTGGATATAAATTTCGAGTACTCAATCTAGGTTGATTTCTTTCAAAATTTATGTTCGACCATCCATGGGTAGGTACAATGTATCTTCTTATTGGAGCTTGGTTGATGTTGTTTTCATGAAGAACATAATGGCCATCTTGGACATAAACATCATGTGAAAAGACATCTCGAGTACTCAACCTAGGTTGATTTCTCTCTATATATGTGTTAGACCATCTATATGTAGGTATCATTTCTCTTCTTACTAGAATGTGGTTGATGTTGTTTTCGTGGTGAATAAAGTGATTGTCTTGGACATAAGGTGGTAATACAGTTTGAATACTCTGTCTTGATTGATTTCTCTCGGGATATGTATCAAACCATCCTGGGGTAGACACTATGTCTCTTAGTAGAGTATGGTTGATGTTATTTCTGTAATGACTAAAGTAGTTGTCTTGGACATAAACATATGTCGGTTGGATTCTTCTTATAGGTTGATTTCTACCATAAGCATGATAAAGAGCATTAGGTGTCGGATAAATGGCACGAGGAATCATTCGATTGTTCATAACATGCTGCGAAGGTCCATATGAAACTTCCATAATTTCTCTATGATATAAATGAGAACGGTTTCCAAATCTATTCTGATGAAATTGTGGATAATTCATCTTTCCAAATCAAGAGAAAAAATTCCCACTTAAACAATATCTGTGGACAAAATAACATGGATCAAATTTTAGAGATAACGATGTAAGATTAAAAAATCATAATAACATGGACATAATAACTTTATTTTGTGAAAAAGAAAAACGAAATCAAGAGAATAATTCATAATATTAAATTAGTGATGAATAAACAGTAGAGATGAAAGAAAGAAAAATAAGAAACCTTTTTGAATGACACAAACAACAGCAACTTGGTGAATGGCGCAAACAGAAGTGGCTGCTGATGAGAAATAATACAAAAGAATGCTAAAAAATTAAAACTGAATAAGTGAAAGATGAAGATCCAACTATAAGATAAAGTTCCAATAATATAGCATAGCATATGATAATCAATCTCCTAATTTTGTGCAATAAAATTATAACAAAATATTGGATTCAAGATAATTGGTTTTTTTCTTCTAATATTTTAAATTTGACCAAAATCTTTTAATTTTGAATTTTAAAGTGAAGCGTTATTTTTGTTGGGATATGATTCATATGTTATTTTTTTTACTAACCATACCCTATATGCACGCATAATTTCTATCGATTTGTTACATATAGTTATTATAATTTAAAAAAATAAGATTTTTTTTATTAGTTTTAATTTAAAATATAATAGATTATTAACAAAATTTGTAATATAAAACTAGAACTTAATAACTTATATTTTAACTACAAATCAACAAATTATATATTTAATCATGAATATATAAACTAACGTGAAATTTGATATGAAAATTAAAAATTTAGTAAATTAAAATTTAAGATGATTATTAAACATAATCAATACAATCCTATATATAATTTAAGTCATCAATGTCTTGTATCGATTGAATAATATTCAGTTCAAAGTATTTGTTTTAGGTAATTTAAAAATGGGAGCGGTGAATTAATATTGCTGAATTTTTTTTCATTTTTGGGCAATAATTTTTAACTTTCTAATGAATTGAAGGCAGTGATATAAATGTTACTTTAAGATGAATGTAAAGTGAATAATTTTAAATGCGTAGTGTAAAGAATAAAAGAGATTTATACTAGTCTCTCTATTTTTTATAGGATTATCTATTATATTTTAGATCTTTGTATAAGTTTTTACCAAGACCTCTTTACAATCTTTTAATAACACAAACAAAATGAAAGAGTCATACTCTCTTCTTTAC